TTCGCCGAGTCTCACACAAATTTCTTTTTTTTTTTTTTTGCAAAGTTGAGAAATGTCACCCCTGGCCGGTATGCGCCCAGCTGCTGTAGCAGGTGTCACAATGCTGGTGGGTGGAGCTCCCACATGTTCCCTCATTGGAGACTTGAGAAAAGATGTGGCTGTGCTACAGGGTTCCCCGTAATACTATAATAATGACGATAAAAAAAGGCCTGAAAGGCGGTCCTGTCCAGATTCGACAGGTAATTGAATTGGTTGGGCTGAAAGAATTGGCACTTCGAGCCCGCAGCCTAGCTCAGTTGGTAGAGCACATAAGTGAGTGGCATGCAGGAGGTCAGTGGGTTCGATTTCCCCCGTCATCCGCTCGACTCCCCACAGCACCCTGCGGCCCAGCCCACTTTGGGGTCACTAGCTGAGATAGTTCGCTTGCCCCTCCTGGATGGTCTTGGCTGGAGTCAGCAATCTGGCCAGCCTTCACTAAGGTTTAGGAGCCTGGGTACTACTGCCCGCAGAGAGTAGAGTCGATAGATACAGGTGGGTTCCCTTCCAGGAATTCCCCTAGCGATTCCCGGTGGTAGTTAGTATGAGGTGTCGAGTGGATAGACACAGGCTTAGGCCACCTAGCAGGTCGTGGAGGGTTTGAGAGTAGAGTCGATAGACGATGTCACCATTCAGCGCATAGAAGTGGAATTCCGCCATGCTAGATACGTCGGTAAGATAAAGGGAGGTGGAAAAAAATAATGTGAGGCGGAAAAAAATAATGAGCGAAGAAAATACCGTAATCATCGGCGTAATGATGATTCTAATGAATATAGCTGTCCAGCTTATTATGGCCTTGACGACTGCTGTTAGCATATCGTCATACGATAACAACTTGTGGCATGCAAGGGTTCAGGAGTCAGAGGGGTGCAAGCAGGGGCTTGGAGGGGGGGAGGGGGGGGAGGGGAGGTGTAATTATGTGCTCAATACACTCTTTCTTTTTTTTTTTTGTCGTTTTCCTCGACATTCGGAACCCCCCCGACATCCAGGTTCCGAGCATAGATCTTACCAGACATTCGGACATTCGAACATTCAGACATTCGAACATTTGGACATTCGAACATTTGGACATGCTGGGAGGATAGACCTTAACGGGCAGAAGCATCGAGTGAGTACATCTCATGTAAGGAACGCTGGACATTGTTCTCAGCATTTTTTTTTTTTTTTTTTTTTGTTTAAAACAGGTCCTTATGGTCCTGGCTCCATGTCCATTCTGGGGAGCGTCAGTCCGGTTCCTATTCCCCCGGCAAGTCAATAATGAATACAGCATAGGACACACTCACGCTTCCTTCCGTCTGGCCGAAGGAACCCTGACCAGCATTATTAATACAAAAAAAGTAACAAAATCCGATTCTTTTAAATAAAAAAGGAACGAAAAAGGAGCAGTTGGAGACGCCCCGCCATCCAGGTTCCCAGCGTAGATGAAATACCATTTTTTCCGACTTTTACAGTTCTCCCTTTTACCTTTTTTTTTCTCGGTTTGGCGCACCTGCCCTTCTTAGTACGTACAAAATGTGCGGCCAGCCACCTTCAGTTTTTCAACTGAGCTTGTTCCACATCGTTAGGTTAAAAAGGCGAATGGTCCATACCGTCAGCCGGGCTTGTGAAAAGAGATGCATTCAATTTCAGGGAGATCTGTTAGAAACAAAATGCGGCCAGCATGATGCAACCCAGACAAAACTGCAGTCGAAGACAGAAATAAAGAGATAAAAGAAGGGAGACTGACTGGCAAGGGGGCAAGAGGCATGCCTTGGTGATGAGCTCTTTACTATACTTCAATGCGAGATTCAACAAGTTGACTTGTGTACCCTTGATCAGCTGCCGAGCTGCATTAAGCTGTGAACCCGAGGGCGAGAGAAACAAAAGACAAACAGAGCCAGCAGCATCAACAACATCAATCATGGGTAATCACATGGCATCATGGTTGCATCCCTGCCGACCGCCGACCCCGACCGGCGACCGTATTGCACCCGACCAGTAGGGCCGACCGGTCGGCGGTCTGCCGACCAGTCAGAAAACAACCATCCACTAATTTTTTTTCAGATCTGAGTTGGAAGCTGTACTGCGCTTGCTGAGTACAGCCCAAATCCGCTGAGAAACTTTTGGGGATGGGGGGGGTTGTGGGGGGGGGGGGGGGGGGGGAGGGGGGTATAGGGGGATATAGGGGGGTATAGGGGGGTATAGGGGTGGTATAGGGGGTATTGGGGGGGGTTATGAGGGTGTTGGGGGCCGGTTTGTGGGTGTTGGGGGGGTGTTTGGGGGTATTTGGGGTGGGTATGGGGTTGTTCGTGGGGTTATTAGGGGTTCTGGACCCATTTTTTTTTAATTATTTTATTATTTATTATTATTATTTTTTTTTATTTTTTTTTTGCAGGGTGCCGACGACCCCCGACCGGTAGGTGCCGACCAGCCGCCCAGTCGGCGGGTCGGCAGCCGACCAGTCAGGGGGCGCCGACGGTCGGCGTGTGCAACACTGCATGGCATCGCATTTTCCTGCCGACCAATACAATTGCGAGGCATCAGGCCTCAGTGGCCCCCAGCAGGGGGCGCTCGTGCCACATTTGACCCGGCCCTAAGTGAAGGCCGGGCGTGCAAAACCTTGCCAGCCCCAAGCGAAGGCCCTGGCATGCGGTCATTGGAGGAAGGCTAGGCTAGACACAGCCTCTCCGACTAACCGGTAGGCGCAGCCTCCCGGCTAGTTGCAGAAGCTGAGGCCCAGGTTCCAAGTTTGAAATTATTCGCAGGCTGGGAAGAGACCCGTCCCAGCCAGGCAGCCGCGGCCTTCAGAAGCCAACAAAAGGCGAGCAGACCGCAGCATTCCCACACATTCGTAGGTACTGGCTGCCAGCGTGAGCTTTGACTCTGCACCAGCGGCTCAACCCGTGCATTGATGAAGAAGAAGGGGAGGAGCAGTCACAGGTTAGCTCCTTCACTTGCCGGCAGCCATTGCTGCGCCACGATGGAAGGAGGTCGTGATAGGGCTCGGGTGATCAGGGGACAAGGGGAGGAGGAGTCACAGGTTAGCTTCTTCACTTACCTGGCCATGGCCAAAGAGCACAGACAAGGTGGTCGGACTCTGCAGCATTGTTAGCCAAGGGGAGAGAGGACAGAGACGAGAAAGAGAAGAGAGGGAGAGTAGTAGTCCGGGTATTTGGGGTGAGTAGGAAGGCAGTATAGGCAGCCACGTCATAGTAGTTGTATTGATAAGTGGAGGCGAGACAGTGGGCTTTCTTCATCAAAAGACTTCAGTGCCAGTGTGTTCTCATTTGGCATGCTGTCACATGCCTAGAATCGTCAGATAGGCATTGTTACATACAGAACCAAGGAATCACCCAAAGTGAGAAAGAACAATGTGATGCAGCGGAAGACTGAAATTGTACAGATCTGACTCGTTGGACTCAGGATATCACACAAGTCCTATCAATCATGCAACTGAATTTAGCCAGGTAGGAATGCTGCCTGACTGCAACAGCATGTCGTGGGGGAGGAGAGAGACAAAGGAGGAGGAAGATGAAGAGAGTGGAACTCCGCGTATTTGTCGATCAATAGTCTCAGTACGAAGTCATGTCCAAGTCTCTCTCTCTCTCTCTCTCTCTCTCTCTCTCTCTCTCTCTCTCTCTCTCTCTCTCTCTCTCTCTCTCTCTCTCTCTCTCTCTCTCTCTCTCTTTTCTCGAATAGATGTAGCAGGTGGACATAGAGGGCATAGTCAGAGAATGTAGAAACACGATGAAGAAGAAACTCTCCTCTCACTCTCCATCAGCAAACCAGATACTGAAAAGTGAAAGATGCGATCTTGAGCTGTCCTCTGATGTCTGCAGGTGACGAGGGCCCTGTGCCCCGCGATGAAGAACACAGCGATGGCACAGCAGGCAAGTCTTCTCTAGCCCCAGCCTCCGCTGTCGTCCACTCCACTAACCAACTCCTGCTCCGCTAACACTAATCCTATGTTAATCCTCTACACTCCTCCTGGAGCAGCATGTCGAGGTCTACCCCAAGACGCTGTGTCTAAACTGAAGTCGGCCCAGCTATAAATAGCGCTGCGCCTGAGTCCTGGTAGATGGCCCTCATCCAGGGCCGTCCAATATGAAAACGGATTGACGCGCCTACTAGATTTGGCCACGGAACTGGTCCAGGAGGCTCTGGGCACGGTCTACCTCAATGCTGCCCAACGGACAAAGCGGCTGAAGCTGAAAACCGGTTCAACCCAAACCAGCGTGTGGCAGCCTAAACGCGGCCTACCTCAATGCTGCAAAAGGACAAACTGCGCTGAAACGTGAAAAGATGGCCAAAAAATGAGGTGCGGACCAGGACATAGTCCAGACGTGACCTTCGGTCCGTAGGAACTGTGAAACGCAACCTCCAGACCGGACAAAGCAGAAGCAGACAAAATGAACCCAGATTCACAAAAGAAGTTTAAAGAACTGAGAACAACAAATATGAAACTCAGAAAAAATGCAGCCGACCCAAGAAGAGAAAGAAAACACCCCAACTCATTCACCACGACCCCTAACCCAAACACAGGCTCCTGCAGGGCCCCGTGAGGAAGCCGTGCATACCACGACTTCCATGTCTGCTTCCGACTTTGCTCTCGTATGCTCATGTGCTTGTTCTGCTTCAAGTCTTTTGCTGCACGGAAAAGTGTGTTCAGATCGCTTGTTTCCTCGCACAATCACACGGGACTAAAGAAAGACAAGCGAGCAAGGGCTAACACAATTGAAGATAACTCAATCTGTCTCACACCTTCGACCCTAAATTAGGCCTCCCGTCTGTTTGATCACGAGAGTCTGTCGTAAGTTCGTGCAAATTGTCGTGCTGATATCAGTTCGCGCTCATCTCAGTGCTCCATGAGTGTAATCACTGCGTAACAGTGTGTTAGCACTGTGTATGTTGCTGAAGATTTTCGTCGGCAATTCTGAGATTCATTCATACAATGCTTGTGCGCTTGTTCACTGTGTAAATGACTCATCTTCTTACCTTGAGACTCGAGGGCAGACAACAAAGGCATGTTCAAATGTAGGGCGTTGGGTAGATTCTCAGCAACATACAAGCAGGTTTTCACCATGGCTACGCCAGACCCGGACCCGGACCCGGACATGTCCGGACATGGAACCGGACCCGTGTCCGGTAGTTTCCGGACGTTCAGAATTCCGGACATTTCCGGACCTCCGGACATGGGGGATCCGGACGGTCCGGATGTCTGGACAGGACCAGAAATGTCCGGATCATTTTTTTTTGAAAAAAATCTGAAAAAAAACTATGTTATGCAGAATGACAATGCAAACCACTTTTGCCTCAGAGTCATGTCAGAATTCCTAACCAAAATTGAGTTAAAAGTCAAAAACTATAAAAAAAAAGATTTTAAAAAGACTTTAAAAATTAATAAAAGGTAATGAATTATTAATCACTAAAAAATTGGGGTTGTCTAATAAATTATTTTAGAGAGAGAGCATGTCCGGACCCCCCCAAAAAAAAGCATAAACGGGCGTGAAAACCCCCCAAAACAATTTTGGGGGCTTGGCTCCTCAATGGGGAAGGGTCCTGGACCGTTTTTTTTTTTKTTTTTTTTTTTCCCCTCGAAATTTGGCAGATCCGGACCTTCCAGACCGGACGTCTGGAGTCCGTACTGAATCCAGACCGTCTGGACGGCGGTCCGGACGTCCGGGTCGTAGCCATGGTTTTCACACTCCGAGCGTCTGGTCACAAAAAGGCCACACATGTAGCAATGCAAAAGCTGGCGCATCAGCACTAGGACGTGAAGTCCACAGGATACATCTGAGTTCCATCACAGTCTCAAAGATCCTTCGCACAGTCTCCGTTGTTTAAAATACCAGTTCGCCCGAAGCTAAGGCAGGCACTCACCGGTGTATGTGGTAATGCCATGACACTTTGGGTTTGGGTTGCTACTGAAAGCGAAATGCCACTAGAAAAAACTCCAGTTGGAGGCTCAAGGATCTTGGAAGGTAACTTCGTTAACTTAGGATTATGCAAACTGGTGGTTTTAAGGGGATATCCCAAAGTACTATTGTATCCGTCTGATTCAATCAGGGCTCAAACTCATGATCCGCTCATCAACGGTTACACGTGTCCCATTCAGGCCCAGGGGTTGGGTACCTCAACGCCTGCCTCCAGCACTTTGTACCCGTCCCTACCTTAACACCGTACATAGAGAACGAGTCACAGAAAAATGAGAGGAGAACAGAGATGAGATCTTCATACCCATACTCACCTCTGCTTGAGTTGCATCGAATCGTGCAACAAGGATGTACGTCATCTCATCATTGATGCCGCACCGCTTCAATGACTCAGTAATCTGATTGGGAGCAAAGTCCCGCAGCTCACAGTCAAGGAAAGGACAATCCACCACACCCCGTGCAAAAGCCTTGCCAATTTGAATCCACCATCTTGTGCGAAACAGTTTGTCACAGCCCCTCGTTTGTTGTCCTCTTCTCCCTCTCTGCCGACAGTTTAACAGGCAGTTCTGTTTGACGATATATATACAGCCTCCTGATGAGTCGGTGAAACTCCGACGAAACAGTTTGTCACAGCCCCTCATTTGTTGTCCTCTTCTCCCTCTCTGCCTAAGGTTTACCCAACAGCTCTGTTTGACTATATATACCACGACTTCGCTAGCAACCTGCTACGGTTTTCTCTGGTCAGGTCGAGCAGCAGTGGTCGGGGCCGTCAGTGCCCGTCACTACACGGCCATGCTGTGCCTCTGGTGCCAGCGGCATGTCTGGAGTGTATTTTTTGGCTGTGACCGACCTTTCTTTGTTTCGTGGGTGTTTTGCTTGCTTGTTGCTTGTGATGGGGTGCATTTTCTGGCTGTGATGATGGACATTTCTTTGTTCCGTGGGTGTTTTGCTGGCATGTGATGGGGTGTGAACCAACAGTCTGTAGACTCAGTGTAGAGTTTCCATCTGGTGTGGGTGTTTTGCTTGCTTGCTTTCTTTGTTTCGGGTCAAGACAGTAGTGCCAGGTTCATGTTTAGAAAGCACAAACCTGGTCATCAAGATGGCCAAGTTCATGCAAACATAGCACAAACATAGCGCAAACAGCGGTTCCCCCTTTTGTCAAGAAAGAAAAGGGGGTAAAAGAGAACAAAAGTTCTATTTTACCCTGTGCTGCAAACCCGGTAGGACCGAGGGACCCTCCCCCAACCAGAACCGGACGTGTCCTGCCGGCTGGTCGACCGGGCCGGTTCCCCCTCGGTTGGCCGTAGCGCATCATTTTTATTATTATTATTATTATTTAAGCCCAGGGTGTTGTATAGGCCAAGGACTAGACCCAACGTGATCACTGGCAGCGGCAGCCAGTGGTTGTCCTGACAGGATAGGCCACCTTCCCTACCCTTCCCCACGTTAATGCTCCCAGCGCACCCCCCATCCCTACTATCCTACCTCAGTGTGACCAGCACTCAGGACCATCACTCTAGCAGTATTGAGGGCAACTTGGACCAGACAGCAGTGACAAGCGCCCCCTAACACTATAAACCCCGCCCCCCTTTTCAAAGTTTTTGGGTGGGAAGTACCGTCCCTACCCTGCCGCTAACACCCCCAGCCCCCTTTTCAAATTTTTGGGTGGAAGGTTAACGTTTGCAGAAAGCCACGTACGTTGTTGTCAATGTCTGCTGAAGCCTGTGCTTGCTGAGACCCCACCACTAACACCCTCACCATAAACCCCCCAACCCCCCACCCCCAACCCCTGAAAYYCCCCCCCCTCCCCCCCCTCCCCCCCCTCCCAAACGAAACTTCTCTGTTCAAAGTTTTCTTTGCGGATTCAGGGAGACCTCGGTGAGCACAGTCCAACCATGTTTTCTTTTTTTTTTTTCAACCAAAAAACAGCCCACCGGCAAGCCTGGAACACAAAATACAGTTTGGTTTAAAAGAGAAGAGGAAAGCCTTGCCCTTGCGCCCCTAGACGCCTCTCAAGGGGGGGATTGCTACAACCAAAACCCACTTCCCATACCATAGCCTCCCCAGGGATACCTCTGTTGGTCGGGAAGCTTCCTAGCAGCACCCAGCCACACAACAGATGGGTCCAACCATGTTTTCAAAAATATATATATAATTTTCTTTTGACCCACTTTTGGGCCCAACGGTCCCAACCCAAATTCCGGTTGGACCACCGGGGGTCCAACCGGCCCGGTTGGATCCGGCCTGGTCCAACCGTCCGGTTGCCGGCACAGCCATGATTTTAAGCAAAAAAAAAGGAAGAAAAACAAATCAGAACTTCAGAAGTTATATTCTCATGACGACAAGGAAGGATACATGCTTCGATCCCGAGTAGGAATACACCAATTCTGAGTGCAAGGTCTTCGTGATAAGCCCTTTGCGGCTTTGCAACGTCAATGCTTTCTGGGCAGCAAGCAGGACAGGGAGAGTCCCAGGTACCTATCACCGAGGACGGGACAACGAAAAGCATTCCAAGTTAGCCCTAAGAATTGATTTTGGTTGTTCACAAACAAACACTCTAAAACTAGCACAACAATCTTCAATTGGGAGGCAACAACTCATTTACAGCAGCACTTACCATGGACCATTCCACTTGCAATACAATGAATACATACATGCAATGATAATTTTGGAAAAGGCTGCCTTCAGTCAATCCAGGAGATTCAACACACTTAGCGAGCACATGACTCAACACAGGGAGATTTGAAAATGGGGAAATAAAAAAGTTACATGTGCATACCATTCAGCCACATGGAAGTTTCAAAACAGACTTGAGCTAGATTTTGTTCTCCGAAGCATTTCAATAACATCATCATCCATCCTTTGTGTTGTGTGCGACTCACAAAGCGCCGCAGCATGGCGTAACAGGGACGCCACGCTTCACTAACGGTTTGTGTTGCATCAGGGATGATTCTTAGCTCACCACCACGCTTCCACACTATCCGGTTTTATGCTACAGCCAGCTCACATTGGCCAAATAACAAGTTGCTTCATCTGAAATAAGCCGGCGAGCCGAGTACTAATACTGACACCCACATACTGCATGGTGCTGCACATACACAACAGCAAGCAACTCACATATTCAAATAACTCTGCTTCGGCAGACTGACTGGCACGTTTTGCACCCTCAAAGCCTCTTCCTCCATCATCCCCAATATTGTGTTCAATGGGGTTTGAGCTCTTTGCAGTTCAACAAACAGCAGGTGACAAGTTTGTGACATTGAGCTAGCAGCCAAGAACAGCAGAAAAACTGAATCACAAAGGTTAGAGTTAAAAGCAATCGATCTAAACAGTGGGAAAATGAGAATTACCCAGGCATGATGTCTGCGCTAACGCCATTCGGTCACCGCTATTGCCAATCGTGACTCACGCTGCCCGACGGGGGTCACCCATAGTTCTGTCACTAGGTCGCGTCTCACGTCACCTGGTGGGAGTCATGCTCAGCACTGCAGCTGACCGCGTCTTATAACCTCAACGCCCAAGTCACTCTGGTGCTCTTCGATGGTGTTTTGGCTTTGCGAGCTTGTCCCACTTCAGCTACGTAGAACCACGTTGCCTTCATTTGCCGCGCCATTGGAGGCCAAGTTGGGGGTGGTTCCAAGAGGGGTGAGCTCACGCACTTTGGCCGTCCACGAGTCCTTATGCCTCTTCAAGGAAGCTCCTCGTCGAAGAGCCACGGCATTCAGGGACCACCGTAGACAGGAGTGATGTCGAAGGGGGGCTTACGAAAGTACATCAGGCTGCAAGTGCACTTGAGAGTGCTCTTGGTTTGCAGAGTGTTGGGGATAGTTTTCAGAGGGAGAGGATCTCGCGCTTTGTCGTGCATGAAGTCGGGAGGGCTTGGCAACGTGCCTTCAGGGCATGTTAGCATTGACGAGTCACGACATTCGGGGACAGTGGTCAACCAGGGAGATGTCACAAAGAGGAAGAAAAGCATGTATTGAGCAGCAATTGTGGAGCGGCGTGTATTGGGCAGCATTTGCTGAGCGTTGTTGGGAGGAGTGGTGAGCGCTCACAAAAGCTCTTGATCTTGACGACCGGTGGGCTCTTGATGCAGTAGAGTCACATAACCTCGTCCCCTTCTCACGTCTTCTTTGGGAAATGAAGTAACATGGTCTTATTGTCCACCATCGCGTGGCCGAAGACCTGGTCACACAAGGAGTCGTCTCTGGAAGGAGGGGTATACAGTCTTCATAGCATTGTCTCGTTGAGGGGCTACTGCGTTTGGTGACATAGGGTGGATGAAGCAAGTGCATTCGATAGGAAGTGCCCATTTTGATGGCGGGCAGTACGGGGCTTCACACGCTTTTCAAGAACAGTGAGATACTCGAACGGTCCGTCACACATACTACTACCCTTTCTGAGTCGTCTTCGGAAAAAGGAGGATAGGCCCCGTACTGCCCGCCATCCACCAGACGGTGATCAGGTTACTCGAGGAGCCGTCTTGGGAAGTATGGGAAGGGTCGTCGACAGCAGACTGCAAGACTGGTCGCCTCTCCTATAGTTCGGCTGAAAGCTGTGCCGCTCAGTGTTACAATCTGAGCCAGTGAGTCGAGTCTCACCATCGCTGGCATTTCGGCTTTCTGGTGCATCGTGAAGAACCCAGTGAACAGGCTAACAGGTTTCGCCTGCATTCCTGTGGAAGGGAGTAACAATGACTCTGGGAAAGAGGTAGGAACAGACGGAGGTGAAGAGAGAGGAGAGGCCTGGCTCTGCATATCCGGACAAGAGGGGTGGGGACTGTGTAGTTATGAGAGGAATGAAACCACGTTTCACGGTTGTGGGAAGCAGGTGAAGAGCTACATCGCAAGGGTAGGCTGGAAGCCAGCTTTCATAATATCTGGGTAAGTTAATGTCAGCTTCCATTTCTACCGCTGGTGTGGTCTCGATAAGATGAGGAGCGAGAGGGATCAAATCATCAAAGCAATCGGCATTAGCATCTTCGACACGGGTGGCCTAAACACGTAGAGGAAATCGAACAACAGGCTTATTCTTATTTGAAAGCATAAAGGGGCTTTTTGCTTTCAGCACAGTTTATCTTCCAAACGAAAGTATATTCCCCAGAGCGGAATAGGCGAGATACCTTCCAGCAAGCGGGTGGCCGGGATAAGTGCGTGCTAGTCGTACAAAGGGAAAAGTTATTAATTCTCTGTATTTTGGACGTGCCGGAAAGAAGGGGTGATTTCAAAGGCAGAGTCCAGTGGAAAAGCAAGGGAGAGAACTGCAGAGGGAAGGGTTCACACTTTCAATGATGGAGAAGGAGGGTTTGTGAATTAGATACCCAGACGTCCACAAGGCCAAAGGGCTGCAGGGTATGCTTCCAGCTTGAAGTTTCATATCATGACTAAATCCTAATTTCAAGATAAGTTATGGGTCTCTGTGGGTTAGTAACTTGGTACAATTGACTGGCTGCAAAGATGGTGGGTCAAAATGACTTTTCGAAAAGAAATTGTTGAAAACCTGGACTGGACAAAGGAGGAACAAGTGGTATGGGAGTATCATAAGGACCAATTACCAAATTCGATGAATACTGCGAAAAAGATGCCGTGCTCTTTGTGTTTGTGCAAAAAACTGAGGAACTGTCACAGCCAGATAAACTGCTCTTGATTTGGGACAAATTGAAAAATCTTGAACATATTCCTGTGAATGAGCTTAAACCAGCAGTACACCCGGGCCTGAAGGCGCTCCACTGCGCACCAAGCTTTGCCGAACCGCCAGTGGTGCAGTTTTTTCTTTTTTGACTGGAGTCGCCAGCCAGTGTGGCCTGGTAGGCCTGAGACGCAAAACTTTCGGAGTAGGCGACGAAACTTTTTTCTGCACGGCTGGAGCCATGTCCTGGCGGTTTAAGCCACCACTACCTCGCCCAGCCTTTTTTTTTTTTTGGACCCGGCGCGTTAACGGCCACGAGGGGTGGGGGCCGTTGGTGAAAGGGCCGGTCGGTGGTGGAGAAGTAGAAGGAAAAAAATAATTAAAAAAATTCAACATCGTTTTTTAGGTTGGTGTAGGGGACGGGCCGTGGTCACACAGGTTGCTTGTGAGATTGTATCTCACTTGGAAATCGGTAAGATTCTCTCAGTTGTTTTCGTTTATTTTCCCCTTCTTTAGAGTTCGTTCATGATGCCCTGCCAGAAGGGCAGGGCGCATCCCGTGATCCTCTCCAACGGCCTGCCGCAGGGCATAGTTGAAGTGGCACATGCAGGAATGTATTCAACCACATTCAGGGACAAAGCGGTGCACTGTAAGTTTTGTCTTCTTTCTCTTCGTAGATTCTGACATAGACATTATGTTTTTTTTTTCTTCTTCTTCCTTCTACTTTCTAGATTTGTTTTTGAAGTTTTTCGTTTTTTTGAATTGATTTTTTATTTTTTTGTCTTCATCTACTTTCTAGATTCTGGAAAGAAACCGACAGGTGCAAGACACAGCACACAGAAGGCATGCTCACACTGGCACTTCGCAGAATGTATCCAGCTGCGTTCACGTCCCTAGCGGTGTCGCATTTTGTTTCCCCCCCCCCCCCTATTTCTTTTACCTACTGGTTCCTCCAGCCTCGGCCTGTCCTGCTACCAGTACCCCCCGGCTCGCAAGGCTTGGCATACCGGTCGCCCCAGGGTCGGTCTGACCAGAGCTTGAGGTACTGGTGGTTTAAGGTTTCTCTCCGCCCTTGCCGCAGGAGCATCATTATGGTTGTCTCAAGATGCCGCCTCGGCTGATTTTTTTTTAAGAACAAATCCTTCTCGTGTAATGCCTCAGTTGCCAGTACGCCGCGGACTATTGGATTGTTCCACCCCTGATTTTCTAATTAGTAATTACTAATTCCCCATCTGGGTACGATGATGGCCTGTCTTTATATCAATGGAAAAATTCCTACCAATTGCCAGATCAGTGGACCTTTGTGGTGAGAGAGAAAACTTGCAGCATCACAATCTTCACCAAAAGTAACCCGCTTGTTTTAGGTGCAGACAACGGGGGCATCTGGGAACGGATACGTGTTGCCCAAAATATGCCAACGCCAACAAGACATGAGCACTTGAGCAGACTAGTTTGGCTGAAGTGGAGGGGGAGCCAGGTTTCAGGTAAATCAGAAGCCGGAAATACATTGGCTGGGTCTTCAATGACAACCAGCGAACTCCGGATTGGGTTTGAGTATTGGACGGAGAACCAACACCCGGACCTAACCTCTAACCTCCCTCGGACAGCAGGTGGCCAGCACTAAATGTAGAAAAGAAGCCAGCGAAAGTGTTATCCACCAACCCGGTCACGAACATGGATAGAATCCAAGCAGAAAGAGCGATTTGATGATAGATCTCAACGGGACCGGGGAATTGGTTCAGGGAAAAAAGAAAAAAAAGGAATTAGGGCAGGAAGGAAAGGAAGGGGAGAAGAATCTTCACATAAATGGGCTCATCAAATACACCAGGTAAAGGACAGCAGGGGAAACTGGGAGTGATGGTCTAAAGCACACCAACAGAGCAGACGGGGAGAACACAGTGAGGATGGACCTGGAAGCGAGGCACGGAGGTCCTCGTCTCTGTCCCACTCTGTCTGTGACTACCCCTGCCCACTAGCGGAGTGCAAATGTCGGAGGAGGCGAGGCGAGGTGAGCCACGGCGGACTGGAGTGTGTGCATTGCCATACCTACTATAGGCAACTCCGCATAAGAGGCATGATGGGTTCTTCTGCCTTACTCTGTATATGTGTTATAAAATGACAAAACCTGCATAGCATCGTGCGAACGTTCACGACCGAACGCGAACGAGCGCCAAAACCCTCCGAACGCGAACATAAAAATAACAATATATATCTATCTGAAAAAAATATATGTTATGTAAAATAATAATTCAAACAACTTTTGCCTGGGAGGTATGCTCAAATTCGTAACCAAACTCGAGTAAAAAATCAAAAACCAATTTTATTTTTATTTTTATTTTTTATTTTCTTTTAATATGTTCGGCCAAACACGTTCGGGAGGCATTCGGCCGAACACCCGAACATGTTTGGTGTGCTACACAGGACAAAACATTCAAACTAAGACTCTAGAACAAAAAATGCTGTTACTGAGATGATTGATTACCAGCGCTGCATTAAGAAGTGCCAGCTCAGGATCCAACTTCCCTGCACGCAAGAGTGTATTCAACTCCCTGCAATCACACCCGTCACGCCACCGAAATCACCCTCTCCACGCACAGCCCCGCATACGCACATGCACACACACACACACAAACACACATGCATGCACGGACAAAGTCGATACAAGATAACAAATTCAGTAGTCAGATGTCGACATCAAAAAGAAATGTCCAAAAGTTAGACAGGTGCAGCCGGACAAGAGGGAGGACTCATATCACAAAAAAAGTGAAAACTATGATCTAACATTCAAACATCCAGCTGCCAAACACCTCATATCACATTTGTTTGGTAAAACTGACATTCATTCTTGATGGAATATTTTGAAGAGTACCTGGCGAGAACTTTGTGGGATTAGTACGGCCATGCATCCTATTTTATCCAAAATCACCACCACGCTTCTCGTCGTTCCCGGACTCATTTTTGTCCCGTGCCGCCACCCCCCCACCAAGCCTGTCTTTTCTTCCCCACACAATTTATTGGAGCTAAGCCACTCTTCTGATCAGAGGGGTGTTACAGGTCAGGTCCTTGCAGGCCTGGGGTGAGGTCCCTCCTGCTCACCCAGATTCCGCATTTCAACCGCAGATCGCGCAGATCGACAGTCAGAAACAGAGAATCCAAGTAAGTGGGGACCTTTTCCCTGTGATGTACACCCGGCATCATCCTGTGCCTCAACAATTGCATTTTCCAGTTCATCCCTCAGACACACTGTCAGGTATATACTGCTGTCAAATGGGACATCCGTATATTGGAACCATACAGATAGAGAAGATTAGCATGGCCCACGCATAAATCGAGAAATGGTCCAATTTTTTGTTGGGCCAGAATGGTAGAGAAACGGACCTTCACTGACGCTCTCTCTATACAATCAAAGGACACTCAGCAAGGAGACAGAAACTGAAAACCAGTGCATAAACACACAACATGGGTGAGGTGGATGGAGCTATTTAGCAGAAGGACTTGACGCAGTGCAATGTGTCTAGATTTGCCAGGCCGCTGACCGGCACCTGGCCAGGTCAGACAGCCTCATAATCTCAGTCATAACATATACACACATCTCCATTCAGGCGGGATCGATCCGGCGAGGCCCAGGACTGTACTACCTTCCTCCCTTGAACACAAAGTACGGTCATTAAAGCTGCATTGGGAGTCTCTTTCAGACCTTCCTTTGTTTCGTGAGTGTTTTGCTCGCTTGTGATGGGTTGTGAACCGACAGTCTATAGAGTTTTCCATCTGGTGTGGGTGAGTGATAGTCTACTTTGATTTTTGTCACAGGTACCTAGAGAGTAGCTGTTGGTGCCCGCCTCAGGGTATCAGTTGTTGGGCAGTCGTTGATGCTTAACCACAACCGGGGTTAAGGTGGATTATCACTTACAGCGTAATCACTTAGGGGATTCTGCAGACTGTTGAGGGTTCAGCCTCCCATATACATATATCTCGTCAAATCGAGCTGCCCGGTAAACCGTAGGCAGAGAGGGAGGGAGAAGAGGACAACAAACGAGGGGCTGTGACAAACTGTTTCGTCGATATATCTCTATATATATGTCCTCTTCTCTCTCTCTGCCTACGGTTTACCGGGCAGTTCTGTTTGTGACGATATATATATATATATATATATATATATATTGTCACAGAACTATTGACTAAGAGTGCAAACACGTGAAGTAGAAGAAGAAATAAGATGAGCGAAGAAAAGAAAAAACGAAAGGACAGACAGCCAAAGAGACAGACAAACCAGAAAGACAGAAAACAGTGTCTTCTTCTTCTTTGTTTTAGTGTATTCTTATTTCTTTCAGTGTTTTATAATAATTGAACACTGAACGAAGGATTAAAAAAAAAAAAAAAAGACACATTGAAATCATTCAATTTCTCAGTCTTCTTAACTCCTCCTCCACTGCGCCTCTCACGTACAAGGCTCGCCACGTTGATGAAGTTCAGCGCGAGCTGCCCCCATTCCCATACACCATAACAGCCCACTTGCACGCTGTGGGAAAGAGGCAGAGTAAGGGGAGAGGTGTTAAACACAAGGAAGAGAGGAGCAGAAAAGAAAAACCGATAGGCCAAGGGAAGGTGACACAACTTCTTCTTTCTTTTACTGAATTCTTCTTTCTTTCACAGTTTTGCAGTTTTGGCGAAGGGTCTAGCACGTTCTCTTTTCAGCCCACCTGCACGTCCTTCTTTACTTTTTATTCTCGTTTTCACCCTTCTGACTTTTTCTTTGAGGGTGTTAGGGTGCAGGGTACAAACAAAGTAAAATGACGCAAAATTCTTCTTTCTTTTACTGCATTCTTCTTTCACTGTCTTGCAGTTTTAGTGAAGGGTCTCCCACTTTCGTACACTCTTTTCAGCGCACCTGCACCTTGTTGTTATATATCGTCAAATAGCGTTACATCCAAATTCCTTACCAAATTTGAAATAAAAACAAAAACGGAAAACAAATAATCTCATCTCAATACCTTTAAAAGTTGCAAAGGGTCCGACGTGACGCTTCCCGCCGGGCCCAGCAAAAATGGAAGGCCCACGCCACAGCACTGGGGCGGCGAAAAAGGATGGCCCACGGCGCAGCACTGGGACTCGCGCCGCAGCAGCAGGACGTGGCCCTGGGGCGTCATGGTGGCGCGCGGGTTCACGGTCGAAAGAAGCAGAGGCTCGGGGCGCGTTGGCACGTCGGTTCCGTTGGTTTGTGGCCCAGGCCGCGTCGTATCCCGTATTTGTGTGGTGGACAGCACAGGTGCGGGGCGGTGGACAGCGAAGGTGGGGGGCACCAAAGACCGCAGTGCGACGGAGGGGTCGTCATGCAGTCCGTCGGAGGGGTCGTGGTCAGTGCGCGCAGCATCGGGGGTGGTGTGAGAGGACATGAGAGAGAGAGAGAGAGAGAGAGAGAGAGAGAGAGAGAGAGAGAGAGAGAGAGAGAGAGAGAGAGAGAGAGAGAGAGAGAGTTTTCCGTCGGTAGGATGAGCCACACACCGGCCAACAGGTAAGTCTCAAACCCCGCGACTGGCCTCACACTATCTAATGAATCTTCCACTAGAACATCGAAATATATACTACTACACGTGTGTGTGAGTGTGTGTGAGTGTGTGTGTGTGTGTGTGTGTGTGAGAGAGAGAGAGAGAGAGAGAGTTTTCCAGCCATGCACGCAGAGAGATAGGGAGAGGTTACTTCCATCGATACAATGAGCTATGTTTCAATCTTTTTGAGGGTGGAGACTCTCTCTCTCTCTCTCTCTCTCTCTCTCTCTCTCTCTCTCTCTCTCTCTCTCTCTCTCTCTCTCTCTCTCTCTCTCTCTC